CTCTTGCCCTCCATGCACTTGGACAGCTACTAGTACTTTGAGAGTTTTAAGCCAGTCCTAATAAAATAGCTAACTAGGTGAAAAATGCTGTTCAGAAAAATGCTGCAAGGCAGCAGAAAGTAACCATGTCCTTTACATTTATCTGAGGTGCCGAGCAGCCCCGTGGGAGCATAGGTAAAATGTCAAGAGGTAAAAATTCAAGCTTCTAAATGTGCCAACACATGGTATTGCTGAGGTACTGTTCCACTGAGGATATAAAATTAGCTGGGGGGTGGGAGGGGATAGTATGAGTCTTTCTCCTCTTTCCCAGCATCAGTATCCCCCACAGGACCATAAAGGAATCCCCCATGTGCACAAGCTCTACTAGTATGAGGGTTACATATCTGGTGAATTACCAGCCCGGTCTGAGCCCAATCTGTATACATAAAGTCAAACCTGGATAATATCACTCCTTCTTATATCACTAAACTCCACCTATTATTACAACTTTGGTATCAATGGCTAGTTTTATTATTATTGTTACTCTTATTAACAATAATAATAATGCAGAAAACTCACTCTGGATGTTGTCACAAACTGCATAATATCAACAAATTTAGCAATCTTTGCTAGGTAAATTTCTGATTAATATTACAACTAATGAATCATGATCCAAGATCAATTCAGTGAGCACACAATTATTGGCAGTGTTATATGTCTTGTTGAAAAACTGTATGTAAATATATAGAACAAATATATATATTCATTCAGAATTCATACAAATACAATCTACAGTTGGCCAGCTTTGACTTCACCTGTGTTCTTGTTGATGAACCAGAGATGCCATTGGATTTCCAGAATATGCTTTAAGGACACCTGCTACTGTGTGTTTAGCCTCTACATATAAGGGCAGGCCCATATGTAACTGCTCACAGGCAGGGGGCATCTAGCTAAAAAAACCTTCATTCTGTCTTCTTTAGACTAATACAGAATCCCAAGCAACCTACTGAAGACAATAATATGACAGGCGTCCTACTGTACTTGCCTATAATATCTTTAACTAGCTGCTGAGTGGCTGCCATCCGAGGTTTAGGAGTTTCCAGTTCCTCACACTCATGGTCTGACTGATGACGGTGTCTATGAAAAATAGAATGGGAAACTCTTATTGAGTGTTCCTCGTTTTAGTGAAAGAACACCGTTTTCAATATTTTGCTCTGCTCACCTTAAGCAAAATTGTTTCTCACAGTAAGGGCACACAACTGGTAAAAGCTCTTTTCCAGTACAGTCCTTATATGTGCATGGGTAAGATCTGGGTTGATCCAATTTCACATTCTCACTTTTTATGTTCACCTAAAAATATTAAGAAACATTCCATATAAAATATACATAGTAAACAATGAACATTAGCTAGTATCCTCATCCAACTTGTTTCTGAGCTTTAAATTTTACATTTCCAACCCCCTCCTCCCCTCCCCACAAAAAAGAAAAAAAAAGACTGTATTAGAGCACTGCAAACTTTGAAAAACAAAAAGTTTTCCACTTGGGTAATCTCAAAAGCCAGGCAATGTGAAATTTTGGCATGGTACAAAGTAATCATAAATTACCAACTTACCATAGGCAGAGGAGGAAAAAATTATTTGGGGGGGCTAAGCGCGCGTGCATGTGCTCCACCCCCTCCTTCCCCACCCCCCACCAGGTAAGTCTGTGGGGTAAGGGGCAGGGGGAAGGTAAAGGGTGGGGAGGAAGCTCAAAGCCACAGCAGTGAGAGAGGGAGTGGGGCAGGGGCCAGGGTGAATGGGGCCCAGGACATGCTGGGTGATGGGACAATCGGAGCCCAAGCAGCTTATCCAGGGGTACCGGGGAGCTCCTGCCGCTGTGTGCACCCTGGCTAAGGCCTGGGGGGCATGTGTCCCCTTGATCTGTGCGTGGGGTGGAGACAGTTGCCACTGCGCCCCACTGCAGCTGCCCTGGTAGCACCGCAACACCATGTGCCTGCCATTGCTGGGCTGCGCCATGCCCCTGCCCACCTGGCAGTGGGACGCATGGGGCGTTGTGCCGCTCCCAGGGCAGCTGCAGTTGGGAGCAAAGTGCAGCATGCAGCAGCAGCCGCCTCCACCCCACGCACAAATTGTGGGACATGTGTCCCCCAAGCCTCCGCCGGGGTGTGCACAGTGGCAGGAGCCTCCTTGCATCCCTGGACGAGCTGCCCAGGTTCTGATTGTCCCACCACCTGGCCCGGCTGGGGCCCCATTTACCCCAGCCCCTACCTCTGCCCCACTCCCGCCCTCAGTGTGGGAGTCTCGATCTGCCCCCACTGTACACCCCCAAATCCTTTCCCCTTCAGTGTAGACTGGTAGTTGCCTATCGTACTGCTAGTGATGTACTCGCCGGGCTGTGATCCTGGCTGCATGCGCGCCCCTCCTCACCCCTGCTGCAGCCGCCCAGAATCCTGTGGCCCAGCCCTTCTCGTTGCCCCACATTTGTGGGGGCTCAGCCCCCTTAGCCCCGGCCTTCTGCCAACTATACAACTTACCTCCGAGCAGCCATGAGAATCCCGGCTTCTGTGCTGAAGGCTTGTGTTAGAAAAAAACGAAAAGAATCTGTATCACATCAAACTTTCGAACAAATGAAAAGATAGAACATAAGAATTTGAGAAGGATTAATGTGGCACAGCTTTCATTTTGATCAAATTTCAAGTCAATAAATCACACTC